AACTTCTCGAACACTGATAGAGTCAACTAATTGACAATGGCTCCTTCAGATTTTAATATGCTTCGCCCCGTTACACTCTCACATTGTGTCAAAGTTGTCTTTCAAGTTCTGCTGCAGTGTCTGCAAATGTATTGACTCGAGTTGTGCGAATAGCAAAATTTTGGGCGCAATGCAAATTGCGATATTGAAGTGTGAGTGCAAACTGAACATTTTTCGAACATTTTTTGAATAGTCCAAAGTGCAATTTCGGGCAGGATTCCCAAGTATATTCTTGTGAGATACAGCAACATGAAAGTGTTTCTTTCGCTAGGTTAATGAAGCGGTGGTTGGTTAGTATTTCATAGTGTTCGTGTCAAGAACAAGGCAATGCAGAGGCTGCATTGTATCTGCACATGATTTGGTGCAACCTAAGTGTCCCTGACAACACTTTACATTTTCGCCCCACCGCGGTGGTCTAGTATCTAAGGTACTCAGCTGCTGACCCGCAGGTCGCGGGATCGAATCTCGGCTGCGGCAGCTGCATTTCTGATGGAGGCGGAAATGTTGTAGGCCCATGTGCTCAGATTTGGGTGCACGTTAAAAAAAACCCAGGTGGTCGAAATTTCCGGAGCCCTCCACTAGGGCGTCTGTCATAATCATATGGTTGTTTTGGGACGTTAAACCCTACATATCAATCAACACTTCACATTTAACAGGCAAATTTTTTTTTTTCTCTCCTCTTCCTACAACTTCTGTGGAAGCCGAACTGATGTGACAGGGTAGGGTGTACCCTTTTCATGCTATGAGTTCCAAGTCTGCCTCGTAGATGTGAATATACAAAAACATATGAAACTTCGGGTGCTCGAAATTTTCGTCGCCTGTTTTTCGGACTTCCTGCCGAATTTCAGGTCCAGAATTGCATCAATTCAGCCCCACTTCTGCCACATCTACCATCTTCATGTTGGAACCAGCGTTTTCTTGAGTCAATACATTAGCCACCGTAGCGGTGCTTGAACGACAGCTTTGCACAATACGAGAATGTGATGAGGTGAAGCATACCAAAGATCAGAAGGGGTCACTTTTAATCGAAGGTTGACTGCATTTGTCTTTGGGAAGTTCAAATAGATAGAATAGTAAAAATTCCAGTACAAATTGAATCAAATAACAAGGACTATTCGGAAAATATTCGAAAGGTCGAATATTTGCACACTAACATGGAGATGATAGATGTGGCAGAGGTGGGGGCTCTATTAAGGCTGTTTCGGACCTGAAATTTGGGCAGGAAGTAAGAAAAACTGGACGCCAGAGATTTTTAGCATCCGAAATTTGAGATGTTCTCATAAATTGACATCTACGAAGCAGATTTGCAACTCCGGACTTGAAGGGAGCCCACTCATGTCGGCCACATCAGTTGGGCTTCCCCAGTCGAGAGGCGGATAGGCTGAGGTAATAGCATCTTTGCCTTTCACATCTGAAGTCTTATCAGCAGCACTTAGGTTGCACCAAATGATGCACATAAACTCGATATGGCTTCGGTACTGCCTCATTCTTGATAAGGCAACTGAAACCTCACACCACCAGTCAAGATAGCCAAAAACATTTCATGTTGTTATGTTCTAAGAATATGCTTAATAATCCTCTCCAAATTTTCTCACTGCAATTTCACTTCAAAGTGTTAAAAAAATATTCAATGCACACACAAAATTCAGTATCTGAATTCGATTTACAACCGAAATTTTGCTATTTGCACAGCTCTAAAATAAATGCTTTCAGCTGCTTTTTAAGCAACCCAAAAATAATGTGCAGACACGAATGGTTCTAAACTTCTACATGTTCGTACTGGTGAGTTACATATTCTAGAGTGGTACCACTACCATGGCAAACAATGCTGATAACGATAGGCTATGGTTGTTGGTCTTCAAAGTTGAAAACCCGAACATATGACGAAAGAAAATGTTCACTTTCATGCAGCACTCGCCTGGTGAAGAATATTAACCCAGCAATGTGACTTGCTTCCAATCACTTTACGGCTATTATAGAATATTTTATCGATAAGCACAGGTGTCACCATATTGGGTCGTTAAATTTTCCACTTTGTATCTTCAACAGCTGAATGAACAGTGCTACGGTAGACGCATACACATGAAAATGGCTGGGTTGGTGAATCAGACGTTTGATGACCTTGTAATTTCACATCACGACATACCAAAATAAAGATTTATCAGCCCAAGGTTACAGAAGTCGTGTCGAATGTAAAATTGTCTATAGGAATGTGCTAACACATCTGATTTCATGGTGACCGCATTGGAAACAATTGCACAGTGTATTAAAAGTGTTTCGTTGTAATTGCTTTCAAAATGTATATGTATTTAGAAATGACTATCCTTTTATATCTAATGCAGTATATAGCTTGTCCTGATATATTTTAGTACACTTTAGCGTGGCCTAGCTGAGTCTATGTCAAAGTTATGTGTCACACGGCATGTCCAGCCATACGACTTTCACGACTGGAGCAGAGCCAATGACCCTGCTGTCACATGGCCAAACTTCACTTCCAATGCCAAAAATCACTGTTTGTCACTCTAGTAGAAGACCGTGAATTTCTCTATTCAAATGAAATTATAACCAAAACAGAAAGGCAAGCGAGTTGGTACTGATTCATTCTCAGATAAAATAGGCACAAAAAGACCCAGAAAAGATGGCGCTCGTGTTGTTTTTTCCTTGTCTCTGTCCTTCTGCGCTTCTATTACTTAACAATGAAATTATAATCACTCGGTTTTCGACATTTTTACTTGCGCTCCGATACTGCCGCATTCCACCATGGCAGGAGAAACAATGAAAGCGGTATGCTGAATTGGTGTTACAGGGCCCATTTAAGATTATCTAACTTATGTTAGTTTGATTGTAAAGCATTTCCTTAAAGGGGCCCTGCAAAACTTCTTTAAGTGACTGTTGAATGGCATTATTAATCGAGTTTATTGCCTCACAAATCGACCGCTGCAAAAACTTTTAAGATTAAATTTGTCAAGTACGAGAAATGACACATGCAACTAATGCTTCAAGAAACGTTGCTTAGTCCAACAGCATCTATTCCTTGTATAACTGCAGTAGCTGTTGCAACACTCTACAAAACACTAGTACATAAAAATTGCAACCACTTAACAATGCTACAAAGCAATTTTGTGAGTGACCAAAGCCAAGTATCTTTCTGAGCAGGTGATGCAAAATCAACATCACCTGGTCATATCCAGCCAACTGTTGGTACAGTGAAGGTACATTTCCTGGCCTCGTGAATCACATAGCTCTTTATGAAGGCAAATTAAATGTGGCCACTTTGGTAAATGAAGTAAATTGCACGATATTTCATGTACCTAGTGCCAAATGCAACAGCATTCACACGTGACATTATTTATTACACTGTTCTAAGCACAATAGTGCTCTGTAAGCTCAAACCAATCTGGTGTTTAGTCAAATGAAACATCACAGAAGTGACTGTATCTCCAAGAGAGAGTTATCAGGAATACTTTCCCAGTAACCAGGGTGACCAGTACCCCTCAATACATAAGTGAATGCGGGGCTAGCTAGTTTCTGCGAGATGATTTCGGACCGTTATTGGCTTGCTTTACTTAATTTATTTGCTTTCAAGTTCTCAAAAAAAGTGGGGTCAGTAATACATTACTGTTTATCATAGCTTGTAAAAATATTTTTGCACGCTAAAAAAATTTTCGGATAATGAGAAGGAGTTACATATTATTAAGTGCACAATTCTGGGTGCGAATACAAAGGAGCCAAGTCTGTAACTTAGCCCTTAACATGCTGCTATATTTGCAATCTATCATAAGCATTTGGATTCAAAATTACAATGCTTTTCTTATATAGCATTTCTGATTGCTGGTCATCAAAAAAACCTGCCATTAGTGTTGACTGGCAAGAGGGGAAGAGGTTTGCAGCGGTAATTGCTGATAACAAACATAACCAAAGTTCTGTGAGTGCGAGACCAGTTCCACACCATTTTCTTTCTATGGTGTTTAAAACCTCATTAAAAAAAAAATGTATATTTAGCAAAAATAGGTTCGTTATATCCGAAAATTTGTCATAAAGCTATATTCCTATATTCCTAACACTGTATTTATTGCAAGACCATTTTTTTCATTTACTTTGTTATAAGCGATACTTTGTTATATCTGTGTTCATTCATGAAGAAAGAAGAGCAAGTTTAGTGGTTCGTTCTTTGTTAAACAAAATAGTAATGAGAAATAACAACCATGATGCCAAGATAAGGATGGGGATGTTATTAGCAGCAATGTAATTCGAAGGTCGCAGGTTCAGTCTCTGCTAAGGGAAAGTCATTTTTTCATCCACTTCTACTTCAGATTTACATTATATTTACTACTGATATCATCCCCTCTGCTTTCCTTGGCATCGTTACCTGTTAGCTCTCATTAATAATCATGCCTAGTAATGCGAGTACTGCATTTATTTCAAGGAAAGGAATGAGTAATAGAATATTTATGACCCAACACTTGACAGCAGGCTTCCACACAAAGTTTACATTTTACATGTTAAAAGTGAAAAAAAAAAAGTTTTGCTTGTTTTGGGTAACGGCAAACTGATTTTTCCAAAATACTTGTTACAGGCAGAAAGCTATGTGCTTGCTCTCTTAAAGGGCCACTCACCAGGTTTGAAAATATTGAGTTGAAAAGTGCAACGTGTAGATGGGGCGTTCGTGATCACATGTGCCGAAATTTGCAAAGCTACGCACTGCGGAAATGGGTCAAGTTTCAGGACGAACGCTGTTCCCTCTTCTTTATATGGGCGCGTGCCTAGAGAATGAAGACATAATGTGCATGCATGAATCGCCCTACATACATGGCAGTGCAGTGACGATGGTCCTATACATAGACAACTGTGCTCTGATGTTGCCAACAGTAGCACGTGACATGGCAAAAATTATTTAACATGACATGTGTAGTTTACGTAATTTGTTGCTTGAAGATATTATTAAAACTTGAGATAAATTATGAGATGCAATAAGGGAATGTGTGCGTCTTTTTAAAAATATTTTCTAGTGATTGCAACTAGATGCGGGGTTAATGTACAGGCATTTCGCATCCGTTTGTGTACCCGCTGTCAGCGCTCCTACGCGTCCGCGCACTCATTGTTCACATCTATTCTACCGCATCTAAGCCAGCGTTTCCAAACCATCCTGCAGAAACAGGCAGTAGGCCATAAAATAATGCTGGTACACATGCTGGTCAACAAAACAACGCCGCTCGCGTGCTCGGGGGTTGGGCTAGTTTGAGCACGTAATGTGCACGTGACCTTTCGGTCGGATGACGGAGATGGTAGGGAAGAGATTTGGCTTGCGAAGGCTACGCGGGGGAGTGGAAAAGGTTTCGAGCTTGTCTTCTCTCATCCTCGTTGCACGCCGCTTAAAAAAAAAAACAGTTTTCTCAGCTCGTAATAAACCGAATGAAAAAAATTTTGCGGCATAATGCTCCTCATCAGACACACAACAAATTCCATGGTCTAACTAAAATTTGTTATGAGGCCTAGTGAGTGGCCCTTTAACTTGTACCGGTAAACCTACTTGGAAATTCATTAGACTGATGGTAAGCAGCGCTTCCCCCCTAGAAAAAACAGTTTGTACTACCTGGAGTGCTATAGCCTTCACAGCTGAAAGAGAGAAAGATAGAGAAGATTACAATAAAGTAGTGAAAAGGCAAGCAACATGGTGAAAAATTAAGAAATTATGTGGTACATAGGCTTCCTTAAACGTAATGTTTGTTAGCTTTTAGTGTTTGCATGGCACGGGGAATCCTGAATAGAGCAATGACTGAAAAGAAATAAGAACTTCAACGTGAAGATGCAAGTATTCTTTTCAGGCGCATACACACCATGAGCACGAATGCTTCATCTTTTTTTTTTTTTTTCAGCATGAATGCTCGAACATGGTGGAGCCATAAGCATGCACAAGGTATGCCTTCGAGAGGGAGAGGGGGAATGTTCCTCCTAAAGCCCCCCCTTCCCTATCAAGACAATGTATAGGGCCGACTTCAAGCCCCCCCTCTAAAAAAACTAGGAAAAATAGCCACCCTCCCTGCCGCTCTCATGCGCACGCCTATTGGTGGGGCCGACTGCAGGAAACATTCTTGTGGACTGCTTAGAAAAGTTGAGCGATGCTCGGAAGCATAACAGGGTGAATAACGCCAACACTAAATGTGCCAGCGCAACTTACAAAATTATGGAGTAACTGATAGGCATCTGTCATATTGCATCACGCTGCTGTGTGCGTTTTCCAAGGAGGCAGTGCAGTATCTCATGCATTTCGTTGCTCACGCTATTAATGGTGACTTTCCATACCACACTGTTTCACTGACCATTTAGGTCAAGCACACAGCTCATTTACAGCATTTTTCTCTCTTTTTTTTTGCTGAATAAAAATTAATGAGCAATTCTTTGAAATATGCACCCAAATACTGTAGCATGCACAGCTCTGCAAATCTAGGCTGTATGTGCAGGACGCCGGAATACTGACACTTTCTATTATTCTCATAAACTTAGCCAACAATGTAACCAACTTGTCAGTGCTAGACAGCACACTATTTTGTTGCTCACATTACGTGCAGCACACATAGCTGCATTCTAACATGTACAATTTGTCCAAAGAACGCAATCAATGATGTGTTTTGCAAAACTCCCAATTTTCTAACACTATATGCCTGCGATACTAGAGGCAGTTGCACGCATTCCTGTGAGCTAGAGAGAGCAGTGACAGCGAATCGCAAACATAACCAAAAAGCTTTAATAAAGACAAGCATTATTCTTAGTGAATAACAATGATAAACAAACACTTTTAAGTTCAGTAACCTTACGTACAAAGATGGACTCTCCAAAAGTGAATAGCTTCAATAATTCTGATGGATGCCCTTTTACGTAGACTTTTAAAATTCCAGAACACAAAAGCTATTTGAAAAAGTTACATAGCTATGTACGGATAAAAAAACACCTGTGAAACAGCTTGGTGTGAGGCAGTTAGAAGCCTGACAAAATATTTTTTTTATGGGTTCAGTTCCACACCACTCATTGGTACTTATTGCTATCACAAATGACCAACTGTCGAGTGAAATTACACAAAAATTGTACCTTCGTTCTCTGTGCACATTATGTCTCCTATGTTCTGCTAGCCATAAACAATCCTTAGCAATCCAAACTGAACAAAGTAAAGGTGGTGTACGTTTAAAGCTACAATTGGTCATATTATTTACAAGCATTACACACCTCCGCATCATATGTTACACAATCATTCAGTCAAAACACTGCATGCACAGAGTGCATTACGAATGCTCGGCCGGATAACTAGCGATGAATTGTTCAGACAAGGGGCACATGATCGGGGCTGGCAGTTAGCAACGTCCTCGACAACCAGTCATGCAATGTGGTACTCGTACTCGCTTACAACACTGCCAACATATCGCAACGTAGAAGTAAGCCAGCTGGCTTTGAAGGCTGTGGAAAACTATCGTAGTAATGCAAAGGACATAAACATAACTTGTGTTGACATTTTGTGCTCGCATTGTATGATCAGCCGCGTGGCACACCTGCATCTTTTTATGATGCCGGTAAACAAGGCAATTTTCTAATGGTGAAATAAAAACATTTCTTCGTGTATTTAGTAGCAAATGCAGCTACTCTATTGATGAGATGTGTATTACACCAAAAGCAATGCACGACAGGTGCGTCAGAACTCTTTTGAAGTTATCGCTGCACAGGTGGTACAGAGATGCACAACAACAGATATGCAAGTATAATCTACATGGACAAAGGCATCGCAAAGGCATCTAGGAAAAGATGCAGTCAAGTAGCAATCCTGAATTCTCTACATTTCCGAACTCTTTAGCAACAATGTGTCACTTCTCCGAAAATAAAGTACTTAACAAACTGCAAGTGATGCTTCAAAGTTCATGAAACTATACAAATGACCAAAAAGAACAATGCAATTTCACAGAAAGTGCACGGTACGGCCAACTCCTAGTGAAAGCGCTTGGCGTTTTGCCAGTCACTACTTTTCTTTTGACATGAGCCTAGAAGCTATCTTCTGTGTAAAAACACCAACCAGTATGCCTTAATATATATTTATACTTTGATATTACCCACTTATATTATATTAAAACTGCATTTGAAAGGAATGCTGAAAACTAACAGATTTTGCTCTCATAAGGTGTTGAACGCGTGAATGAACATTACTGTAAAATACATAGAGGTCACATGCTACGAGGCAGCAGGCACTCAAACAGGCTATAAGAGAATAACAAAAAGATCACATCTTCAAATAAATCTACAAAGATGGACAAATCCACGTCTTTGTAAGTAGTCGAGAAGATAAAATAAAGACAACCTTTACTACACAACTTGTCTTCAACACATGTCGTACCCCAACCTGCGCGTTGACCTATACCCGCAGGTTGACATAATTTAAAAAAAACTCTCAAAACATACATAACCGCAACATCAAAAGCTACGGAAAGCAAGACCTCGTGAGAAGTAAATAGTACTAGTGAGCTATATTTAAGTAAAGCACCACCTTTTCACTAGCCACACAAAAATAAAATGCAGCGCAAAGATTTCATGGCAGGTCTGCACAGTGGTAAATACAAAATACAAACTTGCTGTACATTGAAGACTTCAAGTCACTGAGGCCCTACATAGAGCCCAAAACGCCTCATGAGAGAACTACAGAAAAGAAAATTCAAGCAAGGAGACGATTCTAAGACGACATTGGCACTGGCATATATGACTTTGTGGTGCCTCATTGGTGTATATATATATATATATATATATATTGCCATGTGCATTTCTCATTTACAGTTATGTTTAATTTGGTTTTTGGCCACAAAGCCTGTCTGCAATGCTCAGTGCGAACTGCGCCCGATGGTTCTAGAAAGTTCACTAGTAGTAGATCGTTTCATTAAGATTACGCCCACTTCGCGGACAATACAGATTATTCTGGAAGCCACGTAGCCGCTAGCGATAACGCTAGAATGTTCAACGCCACGTGTACAAATGGCGACGCGCTTCACCGCTTGTCAGTTGATAGACGGCCGACGCTCTGTTCGCCGCTATCAGTGGGCATGGCTGTAATCTGACCTTCAGTTTAGAGACCACAAGCTCATCCGAATAAAGAGTTTCATCTTGTAATTACAGTCTGCTGCCTTTGTCCACATCACGACCCCGTCACATCTGAACCTTTTATAACCATGAGGCGCAGTTTGCACTGAGCATTTCCAGAGAGGCTTTGTGGCCGAAAACCAAATGATACATAAGTGTAAATTAAAAATGCACGTGACAATATATATATATATATATATATATATATATATATATATATATATTGTAATGACGAAAACCGAAACTGGAACTCTCTCTGGCACAGACTCGCATGCTAGGAAGGAGGAGGAGGAAGACGAAGGAGAATAAGAACAGCCGGCCTGCAGCAAAGGCGTTGTGTCTTATTTCTCGTCCTTACAATGGCGCAGCCGACGAAGGAAAACGGCTTACGTCTCGGTTTCGTCATCCAGAACGCCCGCCGACGTGCAGCCGCGGTAAGCGTCGCTTGAGGACGGCGTCAAGCCCTCCTCGGCAGCTGTTTACTGACACCACCGTTCGGGGACGGCGTCAAGGCCTCCTCGCCGTCACGCTTCTTCGCTGATGGGACCCGCAAGGCGTCCGTCGCGGCCAGCATCGATCCCAGCACCGACGGATGGCGTCCAGGCCTCCGTTGTGGTTCCGGGAAACTTGTCCTGGGACGCGACACGTCGCGGCAACCATGCGCACGGGCCTCTCTCACCTAGGGATGGCGTACATGCCTCCTCCATACCTGGCAACCTGTCGGCGCTTCAAGCACCCACCGTGTACGGCGTCGAGGCCTACCCGGCGGCGCAAGACCGCTTCATCTACGCCACAGTACCAGGTCACAACTCATCACACGGGTTCCGCTTGCCTGGGAACGTCGTTGACGCTTCCAGCGCCCTGGAACCCATGTCCACGAATCCGACCACAGCTGGATTTCCAAGGGACGCCGTCCACGCGTCCTTGGTCAAGAATTGTACCACCTCGAATACCGCAGTCACTGTATCCTCCGCAGAGGCGGGCCTTGGCTCTTCGTGCGGATCACACGACAGCGCAGCGGAGCTGCAGCATACCATCGCGCAACTCCGTGTCACGACCAACGCCCTCATAGCGTCGAGTTCCAAGCTATGTCCTGCCATCTTGCCAACATTGTGCGCACTCAATGCCATGTTGGCTGCGGCCGCCGCACAAAACTTCGAGGTAAGCTCGCCCGAGAACCGTCGCAATCTCCGGCGTTCTCTCGCGGAGGTATCGGAGCAAGTGAACTGCTTGGCGGGGGCACATTTCGGAGTTCTGCCCGCCGTCCCGCCATCGCCGATTTCCTTCGCGCTACCGGAATTTCGCGGCTTCCAGGACGACGCCGAGGAATGGGTGGCAACCGTCAACGCTCTCGGAACGACTGAAGAGCAGAAGTGGGACATGGCCATAGATCGCCTGCGGGATGCTGCCGCAGCATGGCACAGGTACGAAGGCGTCAGGCAGCAGTCCTGGGCAGAATGGAGTGCAGCCCTGATTGCCGCTTTCGGACGGATTTCCTGTGACTCCAGCAAGTCCAGCTCGATCTTCCCCGAGGCCGAGGATGGAGCCCAGGCAGCGCCCCGCCTCGAGGCTGCAATCGTTCGTTGCAGCTCGTCAACGGAATGCTGCCAGGAGTTCCCTGCTGCTGACCCTGACCGAAGTGGCTGGAATCCTACACTACAGGTCCCGGACTCTGCATCGGTATTCGACCTGAAATTACCCCCACCAGACCTTCGTCCGGAGATACGGCCCTCGCGCTCGTCGTCTGAGGACATCGAGGCACTCAATCCTATTGTATTAGACACAACTGAACCCTACCAGACCACGATCATGCTCAGCCACGCAGACACTCGGCTACCAAGGAACGTTTCCTTCGAGAAAGCCCAGATACCTAGCTACGCTGAGGCCACTGCCATCGAGAACTTGCCGAGGACCAGCCCTCCTGCTGTTTCCTCCCAGCATACGATGTTTGCACATGACAGTTCGCCAGAAGCCACCGGCTCGACTACGTCTGGGAGTTCTGCTGTGGTATTTATGCCCAACCATGAGCTGCGTCCCATCTCATTTCAAGAAATGGCCCAAACGTCATCATGGCTGCCTCGCAGGGCATCCCGCTGCAGTTCAGTCCACCAGCGACGGTGGGACAAACACCAGCGTTTCCAGGTTACTCTGCGACCTTGCCGGAACAGTCAGGGCCGTCCACCTGAACTGCATTCTACGAGTTGTCAGGAAACGTTGCATCATGGACGAGTTCGACCACGGCGACAAAGTCAAGCCCACCCACCAAAAACTTTACCGCCAGCTCCGCGCGCGCACAGGACCCAGTCTCCATCACGACACGGTGAACGACCCAGACGACATAGCCAGTGTCGGCCGCCGGAGCCAATTTCGACAAACTTCCAGCGTGGTCGAGACCGACCACGACGATGTAGCCAACCTCGCCCACCTGAAGCACTGTCAACTGCTGCAGCTAGCCTTACCTACCAGAACATTGTCGTTTGGCCCAACGACAATGCTAGCAGTCATGGCCGAGTGTAATGACGAAAACCGAAACTGGAACTCTCTCTGGCACAGACTCGCATGCTAGGAAGGAGGAGGAGGAAGACGAAGGAGAATAAGAACAGCCGGCCTGCAGCAAAGGCGTTGTGTCTTATTTCTCGTCCTTACAATATATATATATATATATATATATATATATAGGGAGAGAGAGAGAGAGAGAGAGAGTGAGTGAAACAACACTATTGTCCAACGACTAATGTAGGAATTCTCACACACACTTCCTCAGTACACTATATATAATGCAAAAAAATATATTAGAACTATTCTGCAGTAAGAAACACTGCAACAATAGAGAAATGACTTCTCCAGTCAAACAGTTTCCTTATCAATGCTCAAATTTCGTGACTTGGTTATACACTATCAATCCTGGCTGCAATGTACATTGTCTGTGCAAATGAAAATATGATTTTAAAAATATTTTTGCAAGTATAATGAGAAGTGACGTGATCATCCACTCAGAAACCAAAGCTTCAAATTTTTTTCACTATGTCGCGCAGATTTACTGCTTTTAGGACAGACAGTGCTACTCAGAAACTTACAGGACTTCCCAGTTTGGTACTGTCACATTTGATGGAAACACGTGACACATAAAAAGAAGCCATCGCGAAAGTTCACCTCAGTAGAAAATTTGATTAAAGACAATCCAAGCGTTTAATTGAAAGGGGTACTTAGTCGAGCCTTTTCACTTTTGCAACGTAGGTGAGAAAAAATGCAGGTCCAGCACAACTTTAAAGAATGAAGTTTGGCGACAGCATTAGACCGCTGCAGACTTATAGCTTACAACGAATACACCTTGCCCAGGATTTCTATGCACATTTCATGTAGTGACTGTAGTCACTTTGACAATTAAAGCATATGTTAGGCAGGCAAAAATGTACACGGTCTACTCTGGCCATGGAGAGCACCTAGGTAAATCACGCTGCAAAAGTCTTAAAAAGCTGGCCAAATCATTTCTCAGCCTCAACAATGCAAAATGCCTACTACTGACACACATAGCTCAGTTACATGTACGCAATGTACAAGGCTTTCATCATGCGTAATTGATCATAACAAATATTTACTTGGCAAGGCAGATGTTATCTTTCATATACACTCCAAACCGCAATATAACAAATCCAGATATAACAAAACAACTGTTATGACGAAGTAAATGAAGAATAGTGTTGCAATAACAATAGTGCTAGAAATGTATATAACAAACTTTCAGATATAATGAAGGTTTTTTGCGTAAGATGCAACTTGCGGCGAATTTCATTGGGAGCAGGAGCACTCAAAAGCACGCCGAAAGTGCTCTCTTCGTAGCTCGCGTGTTTCAGTGGTCGAACAGGTGCAGGATCACTGTCATCCATTGGTAGAGCGAGAGTGCTTTTGCTGCGACGAGAGCAGCCAGGAGCAGTTTGCAATGCTCTCGCCTGAAAAGCCGAGTAGGCGCAGTACGACGAGTCATGTGGCCCTTGAACGTCACAGTCTCCGATTTTTCTTCAGCGGCAATGGTAGCAACTGTGTGTAGTTTGACACCGCTATTTTGTACGGGCTGAGTGTCTGCCTAATGTCTCGTTAGCGTAATTGCGCTAACATACTAGGTATTAGGATAATGAAGGGCATGTGGCTGACCGGTTTCACGTGTATTTTGCTGCTTCCCCACAAAGAATATGACGGGGCTTGGAATGTTTCGACCACATGGCCTCCCCACTCATCACCCCCTTCACCTGCCCTCCGGGAGCGCGCCGCATTCCAGTGGCAGGTTGAGTGGCCCTGCTTTCAGTGCTCTGCCCCCCACTGCTCAGTGCCCTGCCCCTCTACTCCTGTTCTCTCAATGGAATTTGCCATTGGTATAACGAGGTTTTAGTGTCATAACAGTCACACTGTGGGAAAAAAAAGTGAACAATTTGTTCCTGTACAGAAAGCATCAGCAAATTTGCACAATTAGCGATAGAACACTTGTATGCAAAACATACAAACGAATGAACTAAAGTTAGTCTTATCGGCTTGTTTACTATTTTGATAAACAAAACAAGAGCTACAAAATACAAAGAGCTTGCTTACTATGGAGTGCTGACTCTTCATACGGAAAACTTGGGCTAGCTTGTGAAAAAAAAAAAAAAAGGCAAAGACAGATCAAACATCTTGAAGAAATGACGAAATTCTTGCGGGCGAGAGTTCCCTGAAAGTGCTAAAGCAGTTGCTTATACCATAATCAGTCGGGCAGTATTGACAACGTTGCTACTTCCGTTTGACAGTAACAAAAGTATGTATACACATCAGCACAGCCGGAGCCCTCGTAAAAATGCTCACGGCCGGACTAGACTTTCCGCTCCCCACTTACATCCTTCGCAACGCGATGGGAGTGAAACGAACTTTTCCTTGGCGAGTTGTTCTACAGCTCACTGTTTCTGTGCGCTCGGGCAGAGTGAAGTCGCGGAGTGGGAGTGCTGTCAATGCTGTCATTTCTTGGCTCGCACCTGCATAAATTTGTGATTCATCGTGCGTGCTGCTTTCATGAGATTCGTCTCTGTTGCCCACGGCATGAGACTTGCTTCCTGCAACCCTGGTATGTTTTTGTGGATGCAGTTACTGCACCATGTCTGCGTTTGACAGCGGCGCCTGAAGGAACTCGTCCATGCCACCGATTGCCACGTTTATTGTGCGCCAGCTTCTGCTGGACTTGCGAGCTTTCTCCATGGCATTAATGAAGACCTCAATGTGTTGTTTCTTTTTGTTACCTAAGGTGCGATAGCTGTAGCCCTGTACTGTTGCATGCCATTCTGCACATCTCAATAGAGAAAGACACCAGGTGTGTCCTTTCACCAATTTCCTAGTGATGCGGAACAGTGTTCTAAGTGTCAAAAAAACATTTCGCATGAAAATCTAGCCATCAAGGACAAGTCCACGTCAACTGTGGTGTATAGCAAACACTTCAACGAAAGTTATTATGTTCCCGGATGCAAAATACGGAACTTGCTTGATGTAGCTGTGCTAACTGTTTTTGAACTATATCCGTCGTACACGGTGCCAGCTGCAAAGAGACCGCGTAAGGACCCAGCATGTCGTCACCCTCCCAGCTCCTAGAAATCCTTTAAAGCAAAAAGCAGTGTCACCCCTGATGAGGACTTAGGTACGGTGGAGGAAGTAAACGACATGCTAAATTGTGTTTCAACACAAGCCAACAGTAACAACGCTAACCGATCTAGTGGCTACCTCGTCATGGTCAAAAAGCTTTGGGCTTTGGTTGTTTATTAGCGCTCAAAGTTGGGGGACTCCTGAGACAGCTTGCTGTATAAGAAGAAAGCGTACAGCGACGACAAACACTGTGACGCTGTCATGAAGATTTTGGCCAATTCACAGGCAGGTGAGAAAAAAAAGCTGTTTTTCTCTGTTACCAGATCGAAGCCTATGGTAGTAAACGACCATATTATTCAGAAGAACTTGAGAGAGAGAGTGCGTGATTTGGCACCTCGTTCCACCAAAAGGTTATGATGACGCTCGAAAATCTGACCTCTTGACATTGCCTGCAAAATGCACCCTTCAAAGGTATGCGGGCCCAAGCCCGTTGTCAGGTATGAGCCCTGCCATGAAGGAGAGGCTGATCTTTGAGGCATCGATGCTCAGCAGAAAACAGCACATGGCATCGTTGATGATAGACGAAGCTGCCATTAAGCCAAAATATGTCTAGAACAGAAAGACCGACACAGTTTTTGGATCAAAGACAAGCCCGAGAACAGTGCAGCATGCAGCTCTACAGACACGCTTGCAAATAAATTTGATATGTGGCGTTCAACGTCCCAAAACCACCATATGATTATGAGAGACACCATAGTGGAGGGCTCTGGAAATTTTGACCACCTGGGGTTCTTCAACGTGCACCCAAATCTGAGCACACGGCTTGCAAATAGAGTACTGTGTTTCATTCTGCATGGCGTGGCGAATTCACACAGTATACCATGTGCTGACTACTTCACCAAGCAGCTGAGTGGAATAGACTAGTTTGCCTAGACCAAGGAAGTAATCTGTGCTGTGGAGTCCTGTGGATTTGTCATTGTCAGAGTCGTTGCAGATAATTACTCAGCAAATGTCACAAGGTTTAAACACATGGGAAGTGGATGTCTTTCTAAAGTAGTACCCCATCCTCATGATTAAGATAGAGTGATTTTCCTGAGTTTTAACCTTTGTCATATTCTAAAGAATGTACACAGCCAGTTCCTGGAACATGAGCTTACAGACGGCGGAGGGGTCATTACTGAGAAGTTTGTCCAGAAACTGTACGAATTTCAGAAGGACAAAACCATGAAGGGGGCCAGAAACTTAACTAGGAAGCACGTTTACCCATCCAACTTAGAAGAGATAAATGCGCTTCGCGCTGTTCAGACATTCTTTCTGCAAGTGATGGCAGCATTGTCTCACCTCCAAGAGAACTGCTGCGGAAATCCAGCCCTTTACAGTTTCAGAGAAGTCACCCCAACAATTCTGTTCATGAAGATGATCAAGCAATGGTATGACATCCATGACACAGTGTGCAAAGGGAGTGAGAACAAAAGGCCCATCTCTGAAGAAAATGACCTCAGAATGGTATGGTTGGAGAAGGATATCACCTGCTACATAAAGAATGTTCAGGAGGCGTCAATCACATCAGGAAAAGGTGGATTGAACAATAAAACATACCACGCCCTGCTCTTCACCACTTCACTTTAATGCACATGATATGAAGGTTGTCGGCACCAAAATGTGCAAGAGTGATTTGTATTGATCAGAAATAAAGTTTGTACCTATAAATACCTAAGTTTTGTTGTAGCCTCACAGAATTCTCACTTTATAACTTAACGTGCACGTGCTTAACCATATGGCTTAAGTAACAACGTGGGCTCAATAATTGTTAACATTGGGTTCACCTTCCCCTTAAATTTTTTTAGCGTCCTCTGCTGCCAGCTTACATTTTCCAGGAAAGGCTCGAAGCCGTTCCATCCACATTATATCATACTACCATGTTGACTTCTGGCACACAAAATGAACATCAAGCTTAAATTAACAGATAAATTGTGTCTGGCAGCTAAGGTTACAGAGATATTGCTAGCATGCAGCCGGCCGGAGCGCATCCGTCAACGCGTTTTGTGGAGGCGAAACGGTGAGCTAACAGGGCCACCACAGAGCTATGGCGGCAGGCAGCAAAACCCATCATTGCAAAGGCCGTAAGGGGCGAGCAGAGGAGAGAGTCGAGTCCGTCCGTGCCATGCCACAGATAGTGGTGATTAAAAAAAAATGTTAAGGAGGAAGCCTAAGCAACCTTAAATTTAGAGATTGCTCAAACCAGTACAGTTGAAGCTCGATCTAATGAAACCCTATTTTACGATGTACCCAATCAAACAAAGAAATTTTCTTTCCCCAGCAATGCCCATAGTGTTCACTGTTGTCATCAACTCGACTTAACTATGTAACTTGGCTACTAAACACAATTTAACAAAGTTTTTTAGAAATATATATAGGAGTGAAGAAAGCATCAATTTCCTTTTAATTTCAACACAGGCTTTTCTTCAAGCTTGCGCTTTAACGAGATCATGTTAAAACAGCTGGGCACTGTAGTCGCGGCACTAGCTCTATTTTGACGAGGCTGCACACCCCGCCCACGCATGGAACAATGGACTCTGCAGTCAGTAGCCCTCTCACGTGCTGGACGATACTGAGGGCAGCAGGTGTTCCTTTCGATATTTTATGGTTTATGCCACAGATATCACTGATCGTCTGCTCATATCAGTCTCGCTGTGCCCGCTTGCGCAATCTCTGCATTCGTTCTCAGTGTCTTCAAATGTCGACAGCCTGTCATAACATCACGTGAGTGGCTGCAAAAACAATGCCGCAGAAGCTTTCGAGTGTCTCTACATTACAAGAATACATTTTGAAGGACCAAAGGATCTACTTCTCAATTTTACACGCTTCTCGATTCAACGAAGTAATTCAAGCGTGGTCATCATTTCATTGAATCTAGTTTTAACAGTATTTGCACTTTCACCAAAAGAGGTGTTACTTTTAGAAAACACGAAGGCTAAGATGAAATAACTTTCAAATGTTTCGCACTTGTGCTGTGGTAGTTAATAACGTTGATGCGCCATAAATCCCAAGGTGTGTGGGACCCACTTTTACGCTATTCAAAGCTCACATTTGTACATAAACAACATCTCAATTGAATGTATTGCATTTACATGTCTAAGGTTCACCAATGTACAATATACCTGCACAACCTTAGAGTGCAAGAATTCAAAGAGAAATTCTTTTCTCTGTGCATCACATGCATACCCTCTTGTTGAACTCTAACATGACCTAGTACATAATTATCATTAATAAGCATTGCTGCAATTGCCATATTAAGAAAGTGTTGCAGCTTCTCGCTTCCTGGCCAAGCTTTCGCTAACAGTAATGTGCTCTACCTGAAACTTTAGAAACATTTTTTACCAACCTAGGAATCCTGCAAGCCTGCTGAGCTCTTGACAAGTAATATACTTCTCATTTAGGATGTTACTACATTACTGCTCAAGTGTGATTACCGTGAGAAATCTTTCTTTGAGACAACTGCTTTGGGCTTCACGCAAACGTAAGGTGTTATACTCGATGACAACTTTTCATGGCAGTACTGTACATGCTACAGAACCGAAACTGTTGCCTGCACATGTGCCAAGAAATAGTACCTATTTTTATTTTTCAATTTTCAGAGTTACCTACCTCAAATAAATAAAGTTATCTTCATTACAACAATAAAACAACAATGGGAAGTCAGCAAAAAAAAACATATACAAATTAAATTTTTTGTCTATTTCTTGGACAGTACATTTTCCGCACACCTGTTTGCAGTAAACACGGTGTCCCCAATGCCTGCAGCTGCAAACTCGCCATTTCATTCCATGAGAAAAATTTACTTAAAATTTGACAGAAAGTGGCAGTCAAAACAAACAAAGCAAGTTATCTATAGCATCTACACTGGAGTAAAGCACCGTCAACCGAAATAGTTGACGAACGCTGCGAGGGAGCAATACCAAAAATAGCTGGGATTGAAATCCGCAGCGAGTTGCCGCACTATCGGCAACGAGTTGCCGTAACACAAATGTGCGGACCTTGTCTGAACACAGCCTTTGTTCCGCCAAGATAAGTTGTTACTGAGTGTATATTGCAGAAGGGAAATGCTGTCCAAATATGCTTCGAACAGTAAGTGAATTAATTTTTGGCACTGGTATGGTGGTGGAGGATTGTTAGTGTATGCTGGTGAAGGATTTATGATACCACTACTGTTTTAATGAATGTGAGAATAACTGACCAGCAGTACTAACAGCATCTCCTAAAAACAATCACCCACATATTGGTAAAATGACATGTGCATTAATCGAGAATCAGACAAATGTTGCCCGAGTGTGTGTGTTTTATCTTGTTAAGAAGGAAGTCCACACCGTGCTCGTTCGTCCTGTCATAACAGCAGTCGTTGCCACCCTCAGAAATGAGCAGTCACTAATAAATAAGAGTTCACTCATTAAAAAAAAACAACTGCTTCAGTGGCTTGTTACTACGTGACGTTGAATAGTAGTAGTATCGTATATCATACTTTCATATGATTATCTATGTTTAATTTAAAGACATTGCTTTACCTTGTTATTGCCCGTTAAATAAAAATTTATTGCTATAGCCCATCCTGTCTTATCTACGCGAGGATTAAGCACATCTGGTTTTTCACTGATGGCCAGCTGATTCCGCATATGCAAGCACTCTTGCCAACAGCGGAGGTTGGTAAGACAGCACTGAAGGCTCAATGTATATCATTCGCCGATGCAACATCTTTGATATGGCGAAAAAAAAGGCAACTACTAATAGGCAAATCACTAACAGGCAAGCAGTTTGCAGTGTTTGTCTTGTATCAATGTTTCGTTCAAAGATGTTAAGGGACAGCGCTGCTGGTATTCCTTTAGCCATACATTCATACTCGTTGCAACATCTTGAGCACTTGTACTCCTTACAGTTACAGGCTGAATGCATCCTCTAGAAAGGTTCCCCTCGCTCTTCTGGACATTAAAAGGATTTCGAACGTCTCTCTTCAAAACGACCACACTCTCACTAAAGACGCTGCAGCACTGACTGGAAACCGCGGTATTGTTCAAGCAAGGGCACGTGGCTGCGGTGAGTCGTTTCTTTTCAGAGAGCTCTGCCTTGAGCGGCTCGGCTTCTTCAGCACATCGCAAGTTGCAATTTCGGCAGAGCATTTATCGCTCGGACCTAAGGAGAGCCGTTGTCAGTGTATGCTAGTAACGGCAAGTGGGTCGTCTTTGGAATTGATGCGTTGGTACCCACTAGCAACGAGCGCTGACGACCTCTGTGACGAGGACGGTGGCGAGTCTAGCAGGGCGGTGGTTAGATCCGGCAGTGCACCGTCGACTACGTTGCGCTGCTGCTGTTCACGTGTGCTCTGGAGTAAACCTTGGAGGCTTGAGAGAGACACGTCCCAGTCCTTGAAGGCGTTCAGCAGGAATATGGCGCACACTACTGTCATGAAGCCTGCGAGGCTGCCTGTAGATGAATAACACCGTCCGTTTATCCTTGCATTCTATTTTCCCTTATGAGCAAATCTGTAGCCTATATGCTACTATAATATATATAGTCTAAAGCCCAATACACACAATAAACAATAGACACAATAAACACAATAGACGCAATAAAGCAAAACAGAGATGTCTATCCAGATTGATAGGGGATTCTTTAGAAGTTACTTTCATTCGTTAAGCTGTAACGACCTGGTTATTAGAAAACAGAATGACAGAATGAAGTAAATGCAAAATTTTTGTAACTCTAAGCTGAAACTCCACTGTTAGTACATGCACTAGTTATTATGGATACCGAGGAATATTTTTTCGCCAACACTTAGCCAGGCTGTGAGAACAAAATGTTTTTCGTTTTGGTTTTAGTTTCATGACAGCGAAAAGAGTTCCACTCCGTTTCGGTATCAGAAAAGAAGAAAAAATTCTGTAATTCTTCCCAAACTTTCGACACATCTTTAATTTGGAATTCCTGCCTGACGTACTCATTAATGCCTTGGATGTTTCAAACTGACAAATTTTCTTTTGAAACAGAAAACTGATAATTATTTGTTTCCCTCTGAAACAAAATAATATACTATGTCATTTTGATTCCGCTTAAATTCATTCTATTAAAAAACATTTCATTTTAATTTTTCGTTTTCTTTCCATTCAGACACAATAGGCCCAGGCATATTTAAGAAACTTGCCAAGCTGGTTAAGAGGCATGTTGCTAACCATCTAACATTTTTGCATCCTTTAGGTCTTACCAAGGCTGTTTTTGCAGTCAGTACTATCAACGTAGATCCCCACCAAGTACCGACTCAGACGTTAATTTGCCCTATGCTGCCTACATCTAAGATTCCTTTCAACATAACGGCAAAGGCTGTTCATGATTTTTCCATTTCTAATGTGAAACCCTTTCTGTCATTCATTCTCTACTCCCCAAAGCTGCAAGCTCGCCATTCGTGTACAACTGTAATGCCACAGCTTGAGCCAACAGGACCACTCGAGAAAGCTCGCAGATGTCTCGCAATGTCAATGCCACAAAGTAACATGCAACTTCTCACACTTCATCCTACTGCTGTGGTCTGTCCCATTGCCTTCATCTCCCTGAAAATATGCTAAACTAGCATTTTATTACGTCTCTTGATGCACGGAGGGGTCTTTATTTAGTGCAGCTAGTTCAATTACTAATGATTAGTTGTAGGCTGCAACTCTGACGTCACTGGGATCATTTTGCGTATGTGTCTACTTGCGGCGCACATGTTTTCGTGCATATACATTAATTTTTCGGTAAGTAGGGCACTGCTGTTGACAAGATTGTCATTTCATACGTTGTCATACACTGAGTTTTCACTTTGACTTGAATTGTAATTTGAATTTAGTGTCCCTATGAGCTACATGCCTGCGACATACACGTGACGAGATTTGCGCTGCTCACTTTTTTTTTTGTCTTGCATAAGCTGGATCAGTATACTTGCCCTGAAGGGTAGTGTCACAAGCCAATATAGGGATACTAGATACTGTAACTCAAACGATGCAAGCGATGTTAATAATGCGGCCAGAGTAGTTCAAGGTTCTCACATCGATTGAAGCTACTAGCAGTTTTTCAACGTAATTTCCTAATGCAGTGTAAACTTCGTTTCTGTTTAACAACTCAAAAAAGACCTGAAGATCTTTTGAGATATAATGACTTCAGAGTAACTGGGTCACTACAAAGACAAGATAAAACGCTAGTCTTCTGGCCGCAATTATACTGAAAGGCCTCCAAATTCAAGCAAAGCCAAATCATTGGCAAAAATCACGTTGTTTCACTTTGAACATAGGAATAATAGGGTAAGAAAAAATGATGCATGAAAAGAAAGAGTCTTCTAATGGAACACACTATTCCACACTCACGAACTGTACGCTAATAAATTGATGTTAACACAGTAAACTTAACACTTAGGTTTCGGTGAATATGTAACGTCTTCGAAAGGCTCACCAAGCACATCTTCGCCGCTCATGTTTCCCCATTCCTTGAACAAGATGGCGGATGCAATCAGTACAAATGTTGTGAAGAATACATAGTAGATGGGTGTGACGACGGAGGTGTTGAAGACGTCTAGCGCCTGGAAAAGTCATTTTAGAGATCGTCACGTCCACTCTTTATACAAACGTGACGTAGAAGAAACTCTGTTCATTTCATAAACGCAAATAAGCGGGCTCAGAAGCATTGAGTATTAAGCCTGCAGCCTGAAAGAGATTACCCAGGAAAAACAGACACCAAGCTGCCCAAATGCATTGCATCAATGCTTCATGTTGCACAGTGACACATGATCCCCCCCCCCCCCCCCTTACTCAAATCTCTTTCACGCCAACCAAACTAATTCTGCAAGACTATTCCTACATGAACATTATTTTGGCTTTGTAAGAATAAGTTCACCTTTCTAATCCCATTACCCACAGAAAAAGTACCTGGCTTTACCTGTAAATAAGTTATTTTGAAAAAATCTATTACGCCAATGTTCACAAGTCACTAATTATCAACAACAGTTTTAAATAATTTGAATGTCATATCTTTGATTATTATATAACCAATGCCAGCATCTTCAAAAGCGCTGTTTCAAACTCCCATTAACCAAAATACCCTTTATAATTTGATGGCTGAAAAACTTGAGGTATCAACATACAAAAAATGTGTTTTTAAACATATGGTCACTCAGCAATGTAAACTAAGAAAATCTGCACAACTTGCAACAGCTACGCATCATAAACAGTGCCTTGCCTCGGAAATTTTCGAAGGGTGATGACGGTGACAATGAAACTGTTGACTGAAGAGGCTGAAGTTTTCCACAGTGCAATCAGTGACCCTTAGTGAAGAACAATAAATCTTCTTCTACCGGCCTTGAGGATAGTACTGGTTGAAGCCGATTTTCAGCCGAAACTCACCGATCATAAAATATTTCTCTACGAAACTTCAGCGACCTGAAGTAAACTACAGCTTTTCACTATGGCTACAAGAGCGTGCATATATTTGTTATACCAACAGACTTACTAAAAAACAGCTGCATCTGAATAGAGGAGGGATATATAAAGCCTTTCCTGTCGACACTTGCTGAAAGTGGGGGGGGAGGGGGGTCAACTGCATTAAGATAATATGGTATAAAAGTTGAGCTAATTTTTCACATCGGGCACAGAGAGAACAGAAACTACACAAGGACATGAAACACTTTGGAGACAATGACGAGTAATTTGCAGGTTATCCTAGGTGCGTGGTCGACCAGCTTACCTTGTTAAGATAGTTCATCTGGACTGAGATGCAGATGACGACGCCAATGAGGCAGACCCAGGTGACCCACGAGGTGAACTCATTGTGACCGGCGAAAGTTTCACGCAGGGCCAGGCCCAAGCCCTTGCAGCCCATTACCGAGAGGGAGCCAATGACCGAGCAAATGGCCACATAGATGACCACGTTCGAGGTGCCATACTTTGGCGCGTAGATCACCATCAGGATGCTGGCCGCCGTCACCACAAAGATCACATACACTATGAATGCTGGGGGGGAGTGATGGCATGGCAAGGAAGAAGATAAGAAATTAGAATGCTCATTCGAACGAAAGCAAGGAGACATTTAAGTCCTTCAAAGGCCACCTAATGTCACAGCAAGAAAATCTAGAAGAATGGCACGTCAGGCAAGTTGGTAATTGTTCAGTTTAACGTAATGTAAGAATTCCAAGGACGTAGCGCTCGTCCTGTTTTCTTGCTCTGTCTTTACCTTACACATTTTACGTTAACGTGATCATGCAATCTGGAACAAGATCACTATTATATATGGACACCAAGAGCACATGATCAGTAAAAAAATTTGCAAGGTCGAAGACAGTAGGATTAAATGTTACCATTATGTAGGAAGCACACGCATGGTTTAAGTTACACGCCTTTTTCTTATAACTCCTGTTACAAAAATGCATTACAAAGCAAAGAGTAGCTTAACTTTCAGGGCATGTCAGCTTGTTTTTTATAACTCGCATAGATAACTAGTTGTCCTGACACAAGAATTGTCTCGCATTCAGCCATCTTTCTAACACCATTCAGCCGCTTTTCTTAATTACAACTAGAGTCCTTGATCCATGTCACACATTACCACCTAATTAATTATATGGTATAATTATTAGGATAGTAAATTAATGGCACACAAAAATGAATTCACCGCAACAGTTCAAAATGGACATCAAGTGCAATGCTGCACTGAGAAGAGGATTCGAGCCAAGCTGTCGCCACTGAAAATTGAGGCAGTGGTCGGATGCTCTTGCAACTATGAAACACAAAGAGGCAAGCCAAAGGCCACAGGCAAGCCAAAGGTCACATGGCGGCTGCAGATCCAAAAGATGCCTGCATAGTGGCAAATCAGCCGACTCATTGTTTTTTGTTCCAGACTTCTTTGTGAATGGTGTTACGACCTGTCCTGTGGCCTCTTCCTTTTGTGGAACACAAAGCTTTCCTTTGTCCTTTCCTGTTTTGCAGATCACTGAGGACCTCAGTTTTCGGCAGCCTCTGTCCACACAATAAGCAGCCCTGTCTACATCGCATAACGACACCAGGACAGCGCTCGTAAGAGATGCTCTCAATGTGCCTCATGCTAGGACACCCAGACTTGGCCCGAATTTGTGCAGGAGCAGCTATCAAGCAGCAAGGGCTTACCCGGCTCGACAATCATTGCGCCGAGCATTTCCATGCTCTCAACGTTGCCCTCTTTGGGACTGTGTAGCACGATCACCGTTGAGCCAAGCACGCATAGAAGGCACGCCACTTTTCCAATCAGGTTTAGCCGTTCATTGAGGAACTTGGAAGACAGTATGGCACTGCAATCATGCAAACACCCATTTCTCATTATAAAATTGATCACAAAAAGAGTCACCTTCATGCAAGCATAGATGGAATTTGACTGTTAACTCCATTCTGAAGATGGCTTCAATCGATTTATGATCGAAGTTAGAACTTCCATGTGTTTCTGCAGCAAGATCTGCCTAAAAAGAGTTTTGGTTGCATACAAGGATACTTCGCTGCCAGAGTAACACTTGCTTCTTTGTAGAGAAACTCAGTGAACTTCAATTCTATATGCATGCAGGTTTTAGACAGATGTAAAAATGGCAAACATCACCAACACCAACTTTTAGTACTCCCTTAAGACTGAGAAATCGTCTGAAAACATGCCTTTTCACTGTTCTCAAGCACTTGAATCACAACAGCCACATCTGAAATGGCTCCGAGTGCCTGAAAGTAGACTTGACACCTGAGCTAGGACATGGAAAAGCAGGTGTTTAAAGAACATATACCATGTTTCATGGCAGTAGGTCTTTTTCAATTCTTTGGTAAAAAACGTCATGCATGTTCTGCTCGACAACACTTTTGTACTGAGGTCAAGTAGTAATTTGAGAAGTGCTATGGGGTAAAGCAGATCGGTGTTCAAGAGTGCTGCTTTGCCGTAATCACCATGGCTGTGATGGACTCGATTAATGCTGTTTGCCACCTTCAGTCACAGAAATTTGTAACTTTGGACATTTCAGCACAATGACCTGTAACTTAAACCTCACTCAATACCTGTGTTTACTACCCATGCAAATCAATTGCTTTGTGAGGAGATATTTTTGTGATCTTTTAAAGTATGCTTTCACTTTGTATGTTTCAACTCTGCAAGTTCGCTGAAGCAAGCAATGCAACCTCACCTGACTAAAACGCTGAGGGCACCCAGTGGCGTGACAAGCGATGCCGGCGCAAAAGCATAGGCTGCAAAGTTCGCAGCTTCTCCGACGGCCACTGGAAGATGAACATAGCGTACCTCAAACAAAGCACAGACGAGTTATTCCATGTGCAAGTAAAGGAAAAGCCTTTGGCTGTGTCACACTTAGAGGAATACTCGAAGTGCATGGCACCGCAATGCACCGAGCGCCAGAGTCAGGCAGCCGCAGCAGCTGGCAGATGCACAGACACTTGAGAATGAAGCCATAAGCCCCGTCGCCTGCTATGGCAGCAAGTGCCGATCGCATTTTCTGAAAGCATGCACAATTTCAAGGGCAATATGCAGATTCCATCGCTACTTTGAGAACTCAGTGAATAATCTTTACTAAACGTGCCACGCCAAACTTTGAGCCTTCCCTGGAAAATGTAAGGTTCCCCAAACTTCTTCCAGCAGCAGGCTGTGTTTGCCCTTTCGAAAAGCCGAGGTACTGAGAGTATGCAAATATATTTCTTCACTGTGTGTTCTACCATAATACGCAGCAACATAAAAAAGGCACCCAAATGTCCGTACAACATACTCGGTGTCCTAGTGCTGCCCCTGAAAGTAGCCCGCTTCATGACACTGTGGAAAGCAAGCACTGTCATAGTATACAATGCGGTTCAACACTACGCCCTCATAACTCCTGCACATGTGTGAGCTGGTGCCAGTGTACGACTGCAGTGCTCACCGCATTCTAACGCTCCATGCTCCAAATTTTTTCCCCAGTGTAAAACCCACTTTACCCCTCGCATCAATCCTTAGTCATTTCTGATGCTCAGCACAACACAAGTTAGCTGAAAGCCACCTGTGGAAAACACAAGCCCGCTCCAAAACTGGTGGTAAGCACATTTTGTCGCCACTCAAGTAAGAACTCTTGCTTAACAACTAACACTAAGCTGAAATGGATGGATGTGAAACTTTAGTTGAAGTCCTGAGGTGCACGACTCAACGTGCAGCAGGCCGCTCCCATGTTGGGACAGTCAGGCTAAACCCAACCGCCACATTGTGGGCTTCTTGGACAGCCCACAGTCGATCCCCGACATCGGGCCTCTTGATAGCGGATACCCACTTTTCTTCATTGGATTGGTCCGTGCCCCGTAGCAAGGGGCAACGCCAGAGCATGTGGTCTAAGCTAGCAAATTTGTTGCAGTGCCTGCAAGAGCTATTATGATGAATGTCCAGATAAATATTATGCAATAAAGCCAGGCTGGGATACGAACCAGTCTGCAGTAGCCCGAGACTGAAAGCCTGCGCTCGATTTGACTTCTTGTTAGGAAAGGGAAACTCTCTTGTGCATAGATAAAAGTGCTGCATAATTTCGTTATATGTGGTCGCTTGATCTCTGTTGCTCACAACTGCGGGCCGGCGGGGGAGTTCTTTGTGGTCACGGAAAGCGAGACCTCACGCCTTGGAGTGGGACAGCTCGTTCAGGCTTGTGGGATATCCCCTGATGGATCCTATGTGAGTGGGAAACCACGTGAGATTGTGGGTGGTGATATTAGGTTGAAATGAAAACATCTACTCATCGTGTGCCCTTTCACAAGCAACACGTTGGCTCGGCTAGTACATGAGGCAGTATGCTTAATGATAAACACACTGAGCATCACCTTGCTAAATTACAAACTAATCACTTTGCTTAAAAGAAGTGAAACATGTATTAAGGCAGAGACTGATTTTGCTTTTTACTCACTAAGAATGAGCCCGGCCCACCACACCCATTCCTTGAGATATCCATAGCCTCCGGCACCTGGGTAAGAAGACAGTTGCAATACAATCACTGCAGCGAAAAATCTGACAAAAGCAAAGCAATGTCCGAGCCATGTTCCAAGAATGTACGATAGCCATGTCTCAGAAATGTACAATACCTGCTCTCGTTTGGCCCTTGCTGTTGATGCGTAGGAGACCTTTCTTCTTCACAATGAAGCTGGCGCCAATAAAGGCGCTTGAGCTGATCGCCAATATGAGGCCAGTGTAGAAATGGCTCTTGGCGAGAGCATCGTTTAGGTCAAAATCGTTAGACGTTGTTGACATAGCAGGCTCGTCGTCCATCGGCTAAATCTAGGACCTGCTGGCAGTGGACAAAATAAAAACAGGACCAATGAGTGGCTTCAGTAAAGATTGAATAGATATGTGGGGTTTAACGTCCCAAAACTACCGTCTGATTATGAGAGACGTTGTAGTGGGGGGCTCCGGAAATTTCGACTACTTGGGCTTCTTTAACGTGCACCCAAATCTGAGCAGACAGGCCTACAACATTTTGGCCTGCATCGTGTTCAATATATGCATGCTACTCTTTGTTGTTTCAATTTATTTTCTGTCAAGCGATCAGAACGATCGAAAGTGCCATCCGGTACTTTCGAATACACTGTCATGTAAACACATCGCCCTGCAGCGACAAGAATGCGCTGTGCCCTGCAGCGACAAGAACTCGCCAGCTGTTAAACGAAAATCATTTACATTGATGCCGCAGTGAAATAACCTTGAACCGCGTTTGTTGTCTATGTAACGATAACGGCACCCCAACTGTGAACGGATATTCGCCAGGCATATGTTTAAACGACGAAGTTGCGCGGATGACTAATTGATTGATATGCGGGGTTTAACGTCCCAAAACCACCATATGAATATGTAAGACGCCGTAGTGGCGGGCTCCAGAAATTTTTACCACCTGGGGTTCTTTAACATGCACTCAAATCTGAGCACTTGCGCCGACGACTAGTCAAGGTGAAAAGAGATATGTGTCGGGATCCGTGCAGGATCCTTGATCACACTCTATCATCATGTTCTTCCTCCTACTACCTGGCCATACGAGCTTTTGTCGAACTCTTGACTGTGTAATGCCACTTGGCTCGAACGTGGTCACCGTGCACCAGGATACATATTCAACGTAACATCCTGTCAGCCGCACAAACCTACGCACTGCGCAAACTTCGCAGTTGTTTTGGAGTCGGCTTCGTGACAGCTGCGCGAAGTGTGCACAAATAAACAACTTCGAAGCAAGTTTCCCGCTTATCAGCTCCTGCCGTGGAACGGTTACTCACCTCTTCAGCATTTCACGGATCCATGCAGAGATAATCGGTTACTACAAGGCGAGCAACACGCACCTGATATGCAATCGTCACCTGGCATGTCAAGGACGCGGAAAGTATCTTCGAATGAATTTCGACAACTCGACCGTTAAACGGGCCTGCTTCCGACAGCCAAGGCGGACGAATGCCCTACCTCACACAAGTCGGTTCTGCCCATCTGATACATGAACGCCGAGATACGATTGATTAATCACTTTGGTTTCAGACTGTCACTACGGATGCCACCGCGCCACTGCTAACGTTTACGACAACGCATCGACATCGAGGTCAATTTATCAGTGTGGCCAACAATAAACCAGTTTGCTCTAAATTTGTAAAAAATACACCAAAATTATGGGTACCTCCACGTGTTCTGAATAAGCATAACTTTTGAGATGCGCAACTAAAACTTAATTGAAAAACATGTATGCAAAATTAAAGTAAACTTTATGTCATAACGACGGTGCTCTCTGTTTAAGGCGTGTTTCGGTTTCTACTCTTGCTTCCGCCGCCTGAAATCAGAAACAATAGACTCGAGATTTACATATATTTCTTTATTTAGGTATCGCTGTCACCGATGCGTGAGTTGGGTACCATTTATACATATACTTACAACCTTTGAAGGGTATAGTGCTGCGAAGTGTAATCAACCATACTACCTTCAAAATTTGGCGTCAGAAGGCCTTTGACGACGGGCTTTGCAGACGACATTCAACCACTTGCTCTGTTTTTTTTTGTTTGTTTTTTTTTTGTGTCCATGTAAATCTGTGCAGCCAGCAAAACAATACCTCCAAAGATGCGTGTAGCCCACAGGCACCGTTACATAATGACTTCTTGTTGTTTTCCTTCTTTTTATTTATTTTTCGTTAGTGGCACAAGTCCCGAGTGATACTTTCCAAAAGGAAATTGTATCTTTTCGAAGATATTTAAAAAAAATTTCATTGACTGGTGTCGGATAGTTAATGTTAGTTTCAAAGTGTCAACACTATAACCCTTGCCGGCTGCATGCGATGGTAGTAGAGTTAACAAGTGCATTACAACGCAACCTTGACATTGAGGTTTTACTGCTTTTGAACAAAATGGTTAATTGTGTTATGATGAATAATATTGTCCGCCCATGGTTTCAGAGGGCCCGGTGCACTTCTGGGCCATGCAGTCAACAAAAGCACAGCCTTCAAAATCATAAATGTGTGGCAGCTTGAGCTGGTTGGTATGACATGATGATAGTTACAGCGTGAGAACAGAACGACGACAAAGAGACAAGAAGGACACGAAGGACACGAGCGCTATGGGGATGGAGCGCTCGTGTCCTTCGCGTCCTTCTAATCTCTTTGTCATCGTTCTGTTCTCGCGCTATAACTATCGTCTTCAAAATCATTTTTTGTTATCCGCAGTGAGCCGTCAATAGGGAGTTTTTGAATAGCGTACCGCAAGTCTTTGCGGTGTGGTCGCTGCCACTGCGCATGCGCCCCAACGTGAACCGCTGTCCATGCCAGTGCTCCGCCCGCAATAAATCCGAAATAGCGTGCGGCCTACAATGCCTGCAAGGTCCCTTTAATGGCGGTGAGCGAGCGTGCTATGAGTGTGAGTCAGCGTTTGCAGGGCCAAACGCTATTTGAAAACTCACATGGCACCCGTACGCAAACGCTATACGCCTGCAACGCCCGCTAACTTAGCATACGCTATTAGAAAACTCCCTAATGTGGTGTGGGCGTTGTAATATTTGTAAATGTGTACGATTTCCTTACAAGGTGTGCGATGGGGATGGGTCGTTAACAAATATTGCGATGATACTGAAAGATTGTAAGCTGGACAGACAACGTTGCTGACTGGTGCGATCGAGGGTCCTGAGAACACGTGAGCCAAACTTCACAGCACAAAACGTGGCCTGGAATTTACAATTGATACTAAAGTTCATGAAGAGATCGTTCCCTCTCCTTTCTACAAATGATGCTATAAACCCAAATCGCTGCGCCATATATCCAAATTTACGACCATGGGCTGAGCTGAACATCGTGAGCCGCTTACTTACCGCGGCCGCCGCGGGAGGCCGCCACGGGCCCACTCACGGGCTCGCAATCACACTGGAAGTCGAACGTTCGAAGGAAGCAAAAGAAAGAAAGTGCTCAAGATAATTACGGACGTGTGACGTCACTTCCCCCGCCCCCCCCCCCGTGCCATCCATCACTGTCTATAGCTTCTAGGGTGCTCGTACGTACAAAAAAGAGGGGGGGGGAGAGAAAGAAAGTAATTACAGCGTGCGAAAAATCTGATTCCGCTGATACTTGTCGGATTTCAAAATATTTTTTGCGGTGGTCGATTCGTTAATGCCATTCGATGCTTACTTGGAAACGCATTGCAGGGCCCTTTTAAGCTTCTTCCCAGGTGATGCGGTGGTACAGGACCACGTTTTTTTTTTGTTTTCGCGCAAAAATAAAGCGAGACCTGAGAGAACACTGCTGCTCCAGCACTAGTAAAAACGTGAAGTGCGGCGTGAAAGCACTGCGCTTGTTCGTGCGTGTCATGTCGATACTGTTATTGCAGTGTGCTTCCCTCACTCTAACTAGCAATGAGACATTACGGGTTACCTCATTACAATTCATCTAGAACTGATCATGTTTTCAAAATAAGCGAATGGCGTATTAAGACAAACCTGTTCGCAAAATATTTTTTTTTTGTTAAAACCACCGAAGAGTGGAATGAGTTGTCTGAAACGCAAGTGCGCTGTAAAAACGAAGAGTTGTTCATGTCACTGCTCTAACCTCCCTGCTGTAACGCCTTCGGGCAATGCGGGATAATGTTTGAATAAAGAAAGAAAAAAACCTGTGCTACTCGTATGTACTTCATTTTGTTGTTTTCTGTTGAATTGTGTGTTGTAAAAAGCTCGCTAATTTTAATTCGTAGGTGACTATAATTTTTTTTGTGTGTGGCGTGATGTGTGGCGGACATCGCGCCACACATCACGAACTACGCCAAAAGTCGCCACCTTCAGACTCGCTATCGTGAATGAGGCCCCACTACAAGTTTGTGGATCGTCAATTAAGTTGATGGAGCTCCCCCACAGCAGACAGAATTAATTGAACAGTCGGTAATATGCCAGAAATGAACCTTGATATGAGATATGTATTCATGTGAACTATATGACGCCATTTATGCTCCAAAACAAGTTTATTTACATGATAGAATTAGCGCAATAAAGCTAAAAGTAATCAGTAATTTGCATTGGCTTGCGTTTTTTATGTATCCACTTAATGAGCATCATTTGTATAGCGTTCCCGAGGGTTTCAGTCCTGTGTCGGAACTGTAATCTGTCGAGAAATGTTGTTTTGGATTTCTAGTAAACTTAGTTTGATTTGGTTTTGCACCATATCGTGGTACATTTGAGCCGACTTATGCAGGGAGAAACCGAAACCAGGGGCTCTCAGTTATAATTAAAATAGATAGATAGATAGATAGATAGATAGATAGATAGATAGATAGATAGATAGATAGGTGCCAAAAGTGCTTACAGAACGCAAATAAATTTAATACGTTACGAACCACACAGAGAATCTGTGCCTGTGTCTCACTACAATAGTGCTATGGCGAGCAAAGTGTCTTTGCTTGGACAATGCCGATTTTTACTTTAAAAATTTTTAAGGTAACAAACAGGTAAGGTACCTGTCCTTTTCGCACATAAATTCTAGGTGAAAACATCATGCAGCAGCTAAAGTTACTTTGAAAATAATTACTGAATACTTGTCAATTATCTTTTAATTACCCACTTGATAGCTGTTGTTTGTGTGGGATAGCTGTAGACGTCACAATTAATGGCACACCTATATATTGCGCACGCTGCAAAATATCAAACAAATAACCTTACTGAAAGCATCCTGCGATGCCACTCCTTAGGGTGACATCGTGGGGCTCTACCAACTGGACAGTTACAGTTTCCACTCATAAACGACGAAGCACTTTACACGCATTCTGTCATTTTGAGTTAGCCAACCCTCGTCCCAGTGCACATTCACTTTGGAGCATCCGAAAACGGAAAATTAGGTTTTAGGTTGTATAGTTGGTATGGCGTTGTCACATAAAAAACTCTTAGCTTTTTGGCTTTTTAAAATTAAAATGATAAAATAGGATAGGTTAGTTCCATTATGGTGTCACCGGCTATGCTTTTTTCTCTTAGCAGACAAGATATGCCGTAAGATAAACAATAAAAGCACAAATTGCGAGACTGTACAACATACTATGTGAAAGTACACAACAGCTAAACGTCACAGGTCAGTTCACATACGGCTAATAGGTCCATATTTTCCACACACAAGGTCAGTTCACATCACATGATAGTTCAGACACGCCTTTTAGATTCATGTGTTCACAGGTTCCACTCTCAAGGTCAGTTCACACTGAGTCAAAAATTATTACACATATGAAACACGCTATCAAAATGTTACACATTTTCTTTTTGATGAAGGCGACATCGCATACGGTAGGTAGGTTAATATTTTCATAAAATATTTGATTCTTGCGAACAAGTTTTTATGGGACAGCTTTTATACGAACACATTCAAAGTTACCAACGTAGAGAACACGAGCCCGACCAAGGCCATATCCTCATTCAAAAGCTGCTGATTGTCAATCGCCATTTTCCGTGAGAAGCGAGACAGGCAAGATGGCCGTGGCTTTCGATAATGTGTCCAAATGGCCAATTGTCAACATTCCCTTGGCTCCCACGAGCGTTTCTGTACACATCGTTCAACGCTTTATTTGCGGAAGATCCATCAGATCCTTCAGCTTCAAAGCAGAAACAATGACAGGCTTTTTTTTTTTTTCGCTGAAAGGGAGAGGGAGATAGAGGGCGCCATAGACAAGTGAGTTCCATCAGGAGTGGATAGGCACTGCGCCGTGTCGCCTGTAGGCAGACAGAAATTAGGTGCCTTCTTCCTTTTCCTCATGAACCACTAACAACAACATCAGGAGTGGAGGAAGGCGGGAAAGTTGTGTATTGGATGTGTAATCAAGATTTTTACGAAAACTCACCTGGTCGGAAACACTCATGCCCAAAGGTAAAAGAAAGACGCCGATCAAAAATAACATTAAGTTGGCGCTAACATAATTACCCTCCCTCCCTCCATTCTTTCATTGCTTCATAGTGCAAATGGGTTTAGGCTTCCGTACGAGAGCTTGAAAGTCTTTTATTCCACAGTTCTTTTGGTTTGCGACTTCCTCTTGCCTTTTGACCACGTTATAGCGTGTTTTGGATATGTTTGCTGTTGGTAGAGCAATAGGGGGAGAAAATTTGGGGGGGGGGGCGGCAGCTATATATATATATATATATATATATATATATATATATATATATATAGGTGGTTATATCAGAAGAAAAGAAAAGAAAGGTGCCGACCCGTAACTGTCTCTCCTTACGAGGACACCTCAACAGGTCAGCAGAGGAATGGGATATGGGGAATAAAAGATATAGGGAGAAGGAAGGAGGGATAAAAAGAATAGAAGGAAAATAGATGGATAAGAAGCCGCCAGCCAACGAGAGGAAAAAAGAAGGAGATAGGAAAGTGGGGATCCGGTCGAAGCAGTCCAAGGGCGGGGTGCCACAATGCGAGAGCTGCACGGCATCAGGAGACCGCGGAGGGCGAACCAGTCGGCGGGAGCTACGCTGAAGTCGGAGATCGCGAGGGCACAACCGTCCAGCTTGAAATCCTCCGAGCGAATCTGGCAGCTACCTGCACGCGCGCACCGCAGGCACCACTCGTGCTTCGAAGCCGAGACTCGGGACCTCCGCGCACTCGCCCGCAAACGGGACGCTACGGCAGCCCTCTCTTCAGCGAAAGAAAGAGAGACAACGAAAATCTCTCTCCCTCTGAACCTCCTGCTCGACCAGTTTTCCTTCCAACAAGAAGGAGAGCGCGAGAGTAGTGAGATCCGCCCACATTCCGGTGAAGCCAAGGCGCAACACGCGGAGGGAGTTCGCCGTCGCACGGCAGCCCAGCCGCGCGCGTCTCTTCAGCGTGCCTGGGAGTTGGAGCGACGCTAGGCGTGCAGCCAACGTTCCCTACGCGCGTGTAGCCACGTGATTTCTGACGTTGTCGTGCGTCGTCAGCGACGCCGCGATTACGGCAACATCCGCCAAAGCCGCGGCAAGGCAGCAAAAGTAGCGACTCCCCACTTTAAACTGCGAACGGTTTGGAGTGTCCGTAAGCCAACGCGAAAGAAACAGAAGAACCTTCGTACTTGCTAAGCAAGTCGGGGTGTGTTCTTTTGCTGTGAGAGTGAGGGCGTGGTACGCGTCGTCGTCTGCTGCTGCACATCCTCCCTGTTTTTTGTTCTTTTTATGCCGTCTGTTTGATGTGAGAACCTGAGTGCTCTTCGGGAGCGACGTGCGGTGAGTCCCGGTGACACTTTAGCCGGTGGCGCGGCGGGCCGGTGTAGAAGTGTGTTCTATCGCGTGTGTGCTGAGCGATCAGGTGGTTGCCCTGCGACAGCAGTGACCGACCGTGACTCCTACCTACCTACTCACCTACCTACCGGAGACGCGTCGTCAACTGAGGAGTGCTTACATTCCACACCAGGTGGGTCACCCTGCGTAGAAGGAGCCGAGTGTTGCGCTACGGCGGCACGCCTTGTTGACGGCTTCTGCTTCGCTTGCCTTTTTTTAGTTTGACGATTATTTCTATTTTTTTCTTGCCAGCTGTTGAAGCATGATAGTCGGCAAATATCGAACGCCTTTCGCTCGTGGTCAGCACCTATTTTCGCGAAAACTGGAAACAGACCGAATTACATCTGCTCCATGTCAGCGCGTTGCCTCACGATGTAGCTCGCCGTGTGCGATCCACACAGCTACAACAGTTGCCGTGAGTCGGCCCTCCGTCCTGTGCATGTAGAAAAAAATAAATAAAGAAGCAAAACACAGCTGCCGGCGCCCCTTGACGTCAAGTATTGCCATTTCTACTGAAAGTCAGACTCGTCGTGCCCTTCGTAAGATCACACGTTAATTACGAAGGTGGAAATCTCGCCCGAGAATCAATAACTCGACAAAAAAGAAAAAAAGAAAGAAAATTGTGCAGATGTATTGTCGATGAAGCCTGAAAGACGCCACATTGACTCGGTATTTTCCTCGTCTTATCAAACGACCTTTCCCCTGCAAAGAGAGCTTTGCTGACGACTCGACGGTATTCCGCCACACAAACCACAGTGATCGATTTTAGCCCACGCTCGTGGCGGGAATGAACAGTTCCACGCATTACAAGCTGATTTCAAACGACACATCAGAAGGCAGTGAATTACATTATATAGCCCTTCTTACGCTTACGACTGAAAAATTGCTGGTTAACGTTGCAAGTACGTTAGAAAGTTCTGAAGATAACACTGTAAGGAACAGTTAACTCTGGTCGAATGGTGTTCTAGGTGATATCTGATTTAAAATTAACAGCGCGATAACAGAACACGCCGCACAAAGAAAAGAAACTACACGCACGAGGGCTGACTATACATCAACTGCTTTATTTCTTCATTTGTCAATGCATATTTATGTTCAAGATAGCCTCACAGTGCATGCGTACACAACAAAAGCTTTAGACAAATGAGGTGTGCTCTGTGTAGCACTGTTAATTTTAAGTCAGAGATATGTACCAACTAGGCCCAAATGAAGTCTTATTGAAGTTAAGTTATATGTTTAGAAAATGAAGCCAGTGGACGGCAAAATACGCTCACGAACGAAAATAATTGTGAATATAGCCTCTGTATATACTCAATGCGAAATAGGAAAGATCCCCTTTCTGACACTCCTGCCGACGCACTGGTCAGTCGCAGACACCTATAAGCACACGCATTAAAACAGACGGCCTTTTAGTGTTGAGTTTCAGGTCACGTAGAAACAACGCCGTTTAGCAGGGGATATGACTAAGCAAACAGCTAACAGCTTCTCGTGTGACCGTCACAGCTCGCGTAACCAAAAGGGCATGCCAGTAAGCAACGCTGCACGTATCAAAGAAATATGCGGAGAGAAAGATCCGACCACGTGGTTTTTCTTACGGCTCTTGGGTGCACGAAGTTTTTATCGCAGGATCAAAATCACCCGACGTGCTGCTGTGTCAAAACATCAGTTTTTTTTTTTTTTACCACAGCACACATCATTAGTCGTCTACAACTTAGTTGCTGCGCAACGACTATTCAACGGCACTGCACGGAAACACATAGGCAACATTAATGTTAAACAAATATTACCACAACTTACTTTTTATGAAGTTCTTACGCGACCTGTCGACAGTATCAAAATGTTGCAAACACAAAGAAACCATTTCATAACCAGGTGCAATAAGTGCAAATACTTGGCGTTCGCTTGAGTAATTGTGCTACTTCGCACTTCGATAAACTGTAGAAAAAAAAATATGTGTGACTCCATTTGGAGAGTCCTTACTATAGCCACTTGTATGACCCTCTTTAAAGAGGTCACATGACTCTCAGAGGAGAGCACAATGACCTCCAAGGAGGGTGTACGTATTTTCTTTAAAAAGAGTCATTACACGTGGACTCTTGTTTCGGAGAGAACACGTGTCTTGACTCTCTGAAAAGAGTCAAATGACTTTTTTTTTTTTTTTCGCTTGGAGTACGCAACGAACGTCGGCGTGTTATAGGGGCTTGAGCTTTGAAGATTTCCGCGGCCAAATGGAGAGAGGGTGATCACCGCCAACATTTGCTAGCACCCGTATTTGTCAATACAGCATGTTGTTATTTTCTTTAGAGCTAACTTGCGACAAGCAAAAGTGCTCACCACTCTTGCCACCACTTTCCGAAGCCATGTAGTTCGGTTGTGCTCCCACAGAAACGTCATGGACGCTACGGAGGACAGACGCGATGTAGTGGCAGACTTGTACGGGTTGAGGGCGCCAGAGGACAGGGACAAAAGGAAAAGGCGTACAAACATAGGTTGGCCGTACTCAACGTTACTAGTATGACCAACCAACAAGCCCGCATCGACACCCCCGTTGTGGCAGACATGGAACGCGACACACAGATAGCGACAGGACTTTGCATCGTAGTGACGTTCTTATTTTACGTTAGACGTTTCCAATACCGCTGTTTTCCGAACGAGATTTTGCGGATATTCCGGCGAGACAGTCTTGCCTTGCCTGTCACGTCTGCTCCGACAACAATCGGTCTTTGTTGTCACGCTGCAACACCGACACGCTCTCGCTCGAAACAATGCCCCGAAAGCTAGGCCGTGTTTCGTTCAGCGAAGTGGTTGCAGTCAAAGCAGCAAGTGCCTTTGCGCGATCACATAGCTATTCACGAACCATTTTACCCTCAAAAAAGCTCATTCTGAGCATTGGCTGCTCACCTTCACTGAGAATATACGTCCAATGTCGCGATAAGCTGGTGCCTGCTCTTGTGTACAGTTTGAGGACGTTTGTTGCGGACCACAATCTAAGAAAAAAAATTTTGTCTTACATCGTGTTTGCGGGCATATGTGCACAATGGTCTGGAAAGCGACACCAAGGGCGAAACTTTGGTCTGATTCACTGCCGGCTGTGTTTAGTACGTTTTTCTCACACTGCGCAGCCATACGCTTATAAGTATACACTAGGTATACTTCTAGTGTTCATCTAAATACAGTTCTTCGATAACTCTATTGCCTTCAATTTCACCATTATATTATGCCCACTAAAGATAAAATGGTCAAAGCTTTATCGCCGAAGTTTGCACCGAAACCCCCTAGGGCTCTATAACGTGCACAACAATCTAAACTCGCAGGTCTCTGATGTATTTGTCTTTATCGGAATGCGGCCGTCGCGGCCGAGATTTGATCTAGCGACTTTGGGGTCAGTGCTCGAACACTATAACCATAGACCACTGTGACGGGTCGTTACAAAGGTTAGTAGAGGAATTCAGTATATAGGCCCAATATAGTATCTACATGACAACATATCCGTAAGGTAACGTACATGGCCCATCAAAAGTTTCCATGCCACGCTGCCAAAAGAATGCATGGGTAGTGCCATGGGAACATCTGATGGACCCTGTACATAAACAGCTATAGCTGCTTAGATACAGAAAGACCGAGCACTCACCACCGCAGCCGGCTTATCCTGCTTATCAAATACTGACACTGCAGATGATAAAACGATGGTGGAAGAGCGATGGTTGAGGGTGCAAAGACGTGCGAGCATTACTCGGCCAACAAAACTGAACATGCAATCAACACCTGACTCATTTTATTTTTGGACGGGCTTTTCTCATTCATGATGATATATTCCAGCATAGAAGGTACATATAGAAAAAATACTGTGCGTCTAAACTCTGTAAACCAAACCAATCACTGTAAATACAAAATTAACTCGTCAATATGGCTGATCGGGCGAGTTGGCGAAATACGAGCGCGTAATGAAGACAAGGACGAGCTTGTTGTCTTACTTAGTCCCTGTAGGCGCTCGCATTTCAACTATTCACAAAATCAATGCACATCCAACCAGTTGCAGCGACGTTCAGAGACTGTGCGACTTTCGTAAGTGCGCAGCTCCGCCGTTCACTCGCGCTCACCGAAATACGGCCACGCGGCAACAAAAAGGCCTGCGCATCGTGCATGCATGTATTGCTAGCGATTCCGCAAAATCAAGAGTATACATTTACTCTGGAGGTTCAGCGTTGGATACCAATTCTTTTCGACTCAATTCTAGATCAGTGCGTACGATATCTCCGTAACTGAGTATCAACATTTTTAACACGGTATTATTGAGACGCATCCCCTAAACCCCCTCTGGGCGCTCTTTTAAATGCTTGTGACCCATCTGACTCGTACTGGGCTTTATACTCCCGCGCATCATAGAAAGGAGGTGCTCTATCTCCGATGAAAAGGTCTTTTATATATATATATATATATATATATATATATATATATATATATATATATATATATATATATATATATATATATATAATATATATATATATATATATATATATATATATATATATATATACTTGCCGTGGGCAGGATCCCACGGCAAGTTATCTTTTCACCCACTTATCTTTCTTCATATTTACATTACAATTTGGTCTAATATCTTCCTCTATACTTTCCTTGGCATCTTTGTCTGTTAGATATCATTAATATTGTGTAGAACAAAGAAAAACGAGCCCTTAATTAAACACTTCTTTCCTTTATATACATATATATATATATATATATATATATATATATATATATATATATTGAACGCGTTATTCGGAGGTCGTAGGTTCGATTCCTGCTCACGGCAAGTTACTTTTTCACCCACTTTTCTGTCTTCCTATTTACTTTACATTGGTTGTAATAGCGTCTCCTATACATTACTTGGCATTATTGTCTGTTTGATGTCATTAATAATGTGTCAAAACACGGAAAAACGAGACCTTACGTATACACTTCTTTTCCTTTTATATATATATATATATATATATATATATATATATATATATATATATATACGTTTTCAAACACAACTTATCTGGGAAAAAAAGGTGAAGAAAAGAGACATGAGGCGTTTATTATATACAGTCATAGGCATGAATGAGTTGATGGTGGACGGGCAGG